TAGCCCTGCAGGTCAAATGGAGAAGTCCGGTGGGCCAGAGATTCCCCACCCTGGTCTAGAAGAAACCAACAGAGTTGAGGTCCCCTCTCCTTCCATCAGAGTGATCAAGACAGCACTAGTAAATAAGAACACCAGGCCTTAAACCAGTTGAAATAGATCCAGACAAGGTCTTATCCCAGAATGCCTGTACTTGCACAGCCATCACCACTCAAGCACTTCAACAAAGAATGGGATACCTGGAGCTTTCCAATAGCTGCTGCAATATTTGACATCTTTGTATGAAGAGAGGCTTTGTATGAAGCGCTAGATTGGAAACTTCAAGAGAAACAAATTTAGTGACAGAATGTATGGGCAGAAATAACAGACCCAAGAAAGGAATACAGAAGTGGAGGCATGCTGTTGCCGCTGGATAAATATACCTTGAGCTCATGACAGAGACATGCTTAGAGAAAACAAAGAAGGTGTTTTACTGTAGATGTGTAACAGGAGGTTACAGTCAAAGACATGGTGGGTAGCTTGGAATAGACTTGGAAGTGTCCAAGTGCCCCATTTTTCTTGGCTCTGCTGAGTTTGCATCATTGTAAACTAAAAACATATCTTACTAAAAAGTTAACTAGTTTGGTTTCTACCTATTTACTCATTTTTGTGGTCTTTCTCCCCATATATAGGCAGCCTTTCCAGTAAATATATGACTCAGGGAAAAGCTTCACAGAAGAGGCCTCATCAAGATTCATGAGGGATTGAAGCAATCTTACATTGCAATACAGACCGTCCATTTCCTTAAACGTTTATTTTCTTTATAGCCTCCAGGTTCACAAAACAGCAGCACAAACAGTCTTCAATATAAGTTTAAAGAAAACACATTTTATTTTAATTAAATTGCTGAAGATAAAAAGCAATGGATTTTAATGTTTGTTCATACCATGAATCCCAGCTCTTAATAGATGAGCATTTTAATAGAAAACCATGTTTTTGTATTTACTAGGTAAAACATGTAGATCAGGGAGGTTCCTAACACAAACCACTTCTAAGAGTTTCTACATTCGATCAGAATGTTTTGAGTGCACTTAAATGATGTGCAAGCCAAATATAGTGTCTCCTTCAAAATATTATATTTGAAGGGTTAAAAGGGTATTTATTAATTATGATCAATTACTGATTCCTTGCGTAAAAGTGTTTTGAAATGTTTCTGGATTGCTACTGCCGTATTTGCAAATATTTTAATCTGTGGGGAGCTAACACATGGACGTAAGCAAACTTTTATGTAAAATCTCTGTAGAAAAGCAGTGCCATTGAATGAATTCTTCCCTTTGTTGTTTTATGGTTTGATATGCTGCTGTGCTTCTGTACGGAGAGGCTGAGAGGCTGGTTCTGTTTGCTGCTGCTGTAATATTTTCCCATTGTCTGCAACACACAAAAAACACAAAACTCCTATAAGGAAACAAGAGGTATATTTGGCAGTTAAAATGAATCCACTTCTGCTTTATTGAAAAGTGAAGAAGATCCATGAAGTAGACAAGGATTTGCTTTTTTATTGTCATCAAGGCTTAATGTCAGGTTTTCTGGATATGGTACAACATACCCTTTCCAGGAAAAATATACAGCAAAAAAATTCGGCCACTGTTATTTATGACCTTGAAATAAACCAACCAAGTGAAAACTTTAAAGTTCCTTTTTTGTATTGTATGAATCATAAAGAAGATTTAGTCTTATTTATTAGTTACTCATCCTTTCAATGTATCCTTCCAAGGCAGGTTGCACAAAACATTAGACTTTACATTTTTTTAAAAAAGAGAGAACAATGGTCCTCATATAACAAGTCATCCGGATCGTTCCTACAGAGCAGTTGGTGGTAATAATGGCCTTGTAGTTGGGAGGGAAAAGTCCAGTAAGAGCAGTGTGCTTCCCTCTTGCATTATAAACTGTTACAGGTATTCCAGTTGAAGCTAATAATTTTTCAGAGTTGGTTTGGCTTTTCAAAGCATGTAAAATGTTCAGTAATCGGCTTCACTGACAATCTCTGATCTGGAGATGAGTCAGTGCAAATCAGGTAGACAGAAATCAGAAGTTACTCACCCTTGGAATATCACTTTCAGTGGGACGGACATCCCTATCAGCATGCATCCAAGTGTCTGCTGTTTAAAGTACTACAGCACAGATAGACAATTTCTGCATTTGGTTGTACTTCAGGCTTTTTCTCACAATTCCTGACACTGTACATTTAAGTAAGCATCTGAGCAGTTGACCTGCTTTGTGGTGCTTGTTATACAGTTTGCATATGTTTAGTAAGTTTAGTCACTGTGCTGTGTGTCAAAATCTCTCTGGTCAACTGGTGGAAGTATAAAAATTACTGCGAAGCATTTCTAATCACACGTCCCCAATATCTTTAGATCATAGTAGAACTTGGTTCTGTTTAATAGGTTTTCACGCCACCTTTGACAGATGCCCTTAAAGTAGTACTTACAAATGTGAAACCTTGTTCATATAAGCTCCTTTATGACCCAGCAAACTGGCTTTCTTCTGGAATCTGTGGTTCAAGGATAGCTGTAGAATAAAGGATTTCTGTTAACAGCAGTCTGCCCCAGCCTGGTGTCTTTTAAATATTTTAGATCATAACTCCTGTTAGCCCCAGTCAGCATAGGTGGTGTTCAGAAAGAATGGGAGCTTTAGCCCCAAACAAGGCACTAGGTTCAGAGGCCAAATTCCAGAACCCAGAAAGGATCCGGCTCCACCTACATCAGGAATAGTTTAGCAGGTATTGCAACCGGGGTCAAATAACTTTTTTGCATATCCTCGTCTTGGATGGATTGTGCAAACTAATACAGGGACTGCTTTCCGAAAAGCTGCGGGAACTAAAATCAACACCGGACCTGAGGAAATGGAGTCAGTCTGCCAAAACTTATTGATGCTGAATTCATGATACTCCAATTGGCAGTAGGATGCTGGTGGCTCTGTGGTCCAAACCACTGAGCTTCTTGGGTTTGCTGATCAGAAGGTCAGCGGTTTGAATCCCCGCGACGGAGTGAAGCTCCCTTTGCTTTGTCCCAGCTTCTGCCAACCTAGCGGTTTGAAAGCACACCAGTGCAAGTAGATAAATAGGTACCACTGTGGCGGGAAGGTAAACGGCGTTTCCGTGCCCTCTGGCACTCGTCATGGTGTCCCGTTGCGCCAGTAGAGGCTTAGTCCTGCTGACCACATGGCCCGGAAAACTGACTGTGGACAAACACCGGCTCCCTCGGCCTGAAAGCGAGATGAGCGCTGCAACCCCAGTCGCCTTTGACTGGACTTGACCATCCAGGGGTCCTTGACCATTTACTGCAATTGGTCAAAAGGCCTCTCAGTTAATTTATTCAACAATCCTATTGAACGAGAAGCCAAATTATGTATTTGAGTGCAGCTCATTCTACCAAGTTACAGGGAACCAGGCAGAGGGCCTTCTCGGTAGTGGCACCCGCCCTGTGGAACGCCCTCCCACCAGATGTCAAAGAGAAAAACAACTACCAGACTTTTAGAAGACATCTGGAGGCAGCCCTGTTTAGGGAAGCTTTTAATGTTTAATAGAGTATTGTATTTTAGTGTTTTGTTGGAAGCCGCCCAGAGTGGCTGGGGAAACCCAGCCAGATGGGTGGGGTATAAATAATAAATTATTATTATTATTATTATTATTATTATACCTTTGCTCAAAGGCTAGTCTCACTGCATTGAATGGGATTTACTCCCAAGTAATATCAACAACCTCAGATATGCAGATGACACAACTTTGATGGCAGAAAATGAGGAGGAATTAAAGAACCTTTTAATGAGGGTGAAAGGAGAGCGCAAAATATGGTCTAAAGTTCAACATTAAAAAAAACGAAGATCATGGCCACTGGGTCCATCACCTCCTGGCAAATAGAAAGGGAAGAATTGGAGGCAGTGAGAGATTTTACTTTCTTGGGCTCCATGATCACTGCAGATGGTGACAGCAGCCACGAAATTAAAAGACGCCTGTTTCTTGGGAGGAAAGCAATGACAAACCTAGACAGCATCTTAAAAAGCAGAGACATCACCTTGCCAACAAAGGTCTGTATAGTAAAAGCTATGGTTTTCCCAGTAGTGATGTATGGAAGTGAGAGCTGGACCATCAAGAAGGCTGATCGCCAAAGAATGGATGCTTTTGACTTCTGGTGCTGGAGGAGACTCTTGAGAGTCCCATGGACTGCAAGAAGATCAAACCTCTCCATTCTTAAGGAAATCAGCCCTGAGTGCTCACTGGAAGGACAGATTGTGAAGCTGAGGCTCCAATACTTTGGCCACCTCATGAGAAGAGAAGACTCCCTGGAAAAGACCCTGATGCTGGGAAAGATGGAGGGCACAAGGAGAAGGGGGCGACAGAGGACGGGATGGTTGGATAGTGTTTTCGAGGTTACCAGCATGAGTTTGACCAAACTGCGGGAGGTAGTGGAGGACAGAGGTGCCTGGCGTGCTCTGGTCCAGGGGGTCACGAAGAGTCGGACACGACTAAACAACAAAAGTGCACCTAAGATTGAGGCACCCCAAAATAAAAGACTGCAACCTGGGTTTCTGACAGACCTCAATGCGTGCGGGGAGAGTTTTAAATAAGACAAAGCAAATGTTTTGTTTTTCCTATTGTTATTGCTCCAAGTACGTCCCCCTCAGTATTACACCTCCGCGCAGAGAACTAATCCCGGCGCCCCTCGGCCTCGTATCCCTCCGCAGCGGGCGAGCGGCTCTCTCTCTCTCTCCTCAAGGGCCGGAATCGAATTCTTCCCGCCTCTCCCGCCCCTCCTCTCTCCGCTGATTGGTCAGCCATCCGGAGAAGGACGTGGGAGGACGAGAGAGCGTGCGCGAGCCACCGCCTTCACGGCGGACTTCCCACTGGCCCCCTGCGTACCCAATAGGAGCGCGCCGTCCTTAAGCTCCCGCCCCCTCCAGTGACGCCACCCACGCGCCGTGACGTTGAGCCGTGCGCCGTGTCCATGGATAACCTCGGAGGACGGGGCTGACAGGGCGGAGCGGGAGAGATGGCCTCTTCCATGGTCAGAGCCACCGTTCGGGCCGTGAGCAAGAGGAAGATTCAGGCCACTAGAGCCGCGCTCACACTGGTCAGTCCTTGGGGGGGGGTGAGGGAAGGCGGGTGCGCGCGCACCTCACCTTTCGCTTGGGGGCGGGGCTTCTCGACCCTCCGCTGGCCGGTAAACAAGAGGACTGCGCAGGCGCAGTTGCGGCGTGTTCCAGGGGCTGTGAGGGGGGCTGGGGGAGGGGCACATCACGAACTGGGGGTGGCAGGCGGAAGTTCGCAGGGTGAAGCGTTTCCCCTCCTTGCCTCTGTTGGGAGATGCCATTCGCCACAGGGGGGAGGGAGATCTTGCTCTGCTCCTGCAGGTTATCTGTGTGTGTGTAAAATAGAATTTTTATTCGTTTTCAATTACAGTACAGTCCAATAATAGCCTCCTAATAAGAATGCCAAATTATAGTACAGTGGTACCTCGGGTTAAGTACTTAATTCGTTCCGGAGGTACGTTCTTAACCTGAAACCGTTCTTAACCTGAAGCACAAGTTTAGCTAATGGGGCCTCCTGCTGCTGCCGCGCCGTCGGAACACAATTTCTGTTCTCATCCTGAAGCAAAGTTCTTCACCCAAGGTACTATTTCTGGGTTAGCAGAGTCTGTAACCTAATGCGTATGTAACCCGAGGTACCACTGTACAGTTACTAATACCAATCATTCAGATACCAATTATATAATTCAGGCGCCCCCCCCCCCCATGCAGTCTTGTTGCTTCCCAAGCCTTTGCCTTAAAGGAATTAACTTGGGAAAGTCCTGTTTCTGCGAAGGTGGACCAGATACGTCGTCGTCGTCGTAGTAGTAGTATCAGTTCATTATTTATACTCTGCCCATCTGGCTGGGTTTCCTCAGCCACTCTGCCAACAGAATATTCAAAACACGATAAAACATCAAATATTAAAAACTTCCCTGAACAAAACACATAGGGCTCTTCAGACAAGTTCCAGCCACTGAATATGTTACATGTAACCATTGAAGATGTAGCCTAGTCATCCTCTGTGCCTGATCATTGGAATCTCTCTTTCTTTTTACAAAGTGGGGAAAGAATATGAGAAAGGATTCTTTTTCATAGGTCAAACCCAGTATGAGTAGCATGGCATGTTTTTCCTTCCTTCCTTCCTTCCTTCCTTCCTTCATAAACCCTCTTCTCGTATTCTGGACAACTTCTTTGTGGAATACATGCAGGGGAGCAGGATGGCACGTGCTAGGTTCATTCCTTGGCCTCCTTGTGCCTGACCCTTCTCTCCCCCTGCCAACTTAAACAGATTGGTTGGGTAGTCAGCAACCATAGTCAGTAAGGCAAGAACAAATGTGGCTTGTTTTGTCACCTGAATATAACACTATGCCCAAGATCGTGGTTTGTTCTTCCTGTTTGGTAGCAGGAAGGAGCAAAGTAGTCAAGATCAGTGTGTTCTTCATGGTAAGCTGTTGACTATGATTAGCATATACAGGTTGTGTGGTTGATGTCATGGACTGGCTGGACATCAAGGAATGGTGAGAGGCACCAGCTAGAGAGCCCCCAAGGGATGATGGCTCAGAGGCTGGGGATTGGTGGTGGGATGACAGTGAGTGGTCAGAGGGAGAAGCCTTGGGAGGAGGATGTCAGCCTGGATAGCTCAGTTGGTTAGAGGTGTCGGAAGAGGGAACAGGGTTTAGTGAGCAGGGAGAGTCTGTGGCAGAGAGAAGTCGGGAAGCAGGACAGGATGGAGGCCAAGAGGCAGAGATGAGTCAGGCTGGTGAAGAATCCAGGGTGTCTCCTCCTGCTGCTGTGACAGGCTGCCCTCCTCCCCTGGTCTCCCAGGGCCAAAAGAGGTATGAAAAGGGAGGAACAGAGAGAGGTGCAACGGCGAAGTTTCAGATTGCTTGGGAATGACCCAGGAGAGGAGGAGATTTAGGCAGTTGTGGGAAGGCTGGGATCGTTAGCCTCTGCAACTGCCTCTCAGGGGCAAGACCTACCGAATAATTGCTGTGCTCATTAAGTCTAGCGCTTTTGAGCTCACCTTGTTTCTTCTAATGAAGAGTTAGCTTCGCTTACTCGGGGTGATTTATTCCTGACAGTTGATTCCCTTTTTATACTTTACTGAAGTTTATGCTTTTCTCAGAAATTTGCATTGGTTTCTGTGCTGCAGTGTTTGTGACAATTAGGCGTAATCAGAGTAGAATCCATCCCAGAAAGTCACCTTATTTATGTAATTGAAGATGTTTAGAACTAGTGGCATTACCTAAGTTCATGGTTACTTGGTTTGGATTACAAATTTATCCAACTCTTATGCTCACTCTAATTTCAAACAAAGCGACATCTCTCCAGAAAGTTGTTCTTGTGCTCTGTTTATTATCTGAGCTGATGTGCCTCCCTCTGTGCACTTTGTGTGTTACAGCAGCAACATAATAGTCTCCAGGACACCTGATGTCTATACTAAGGATTTGGAGAAACTATTTTTCTCAGGTGCCTGGGAAGTTGCCTTGCAGCATCCAGGGATTGAGGTATCCCAGTTGCCATCAAATTAGGGAAATGGAAAGGAAAGGAGACATTGGGCTGGATTCAAAGATGGGGAGTGGATTGAGACCATGTTATGCCATTGGAAGTGGGGCAACCAAATTTTGGGATTGTGCTTGATAAAACTAGAGTTGCTGAGGAGTTCTATTGTACGCTGAGCCCAGTTTTGAAGTAAACCAAGTGAAGTTCACAGATCTCTAGTTACAACCTGATCCTAAAATATCAAGAAATCAAATAGTTGCTGTTCGTTGCTAGTATGTGCTGTTGATCGTGGGGATATGAGAATTTGTACTGAACCTAGGCTCTGAAAGTGGTGGGGAAAAACAGGTTTTGATTTAAGATAACAAGATGCAGCTGAGTATTCATCTAATCCAAAGCTATTCCTAAAAAACTTTTCAGACCCCATCTGCTGTGCAGAAGATAAAACAACTGCTTAAAGACAAACCTGACCATGTAAGTAGAGATGAGGAGCATGCCTGACATTACTCATCTGTTTAATATTTCTTTACATGTGCTGCTGTTTGTTATAGTTCTAGCAGATACCCTGTGAATTAATACATTGTAAAATAGAGTGAATGGTGGACTTTGTATTTTAAATTTGAAACTATACTAATCTTGCAACTGCATGTTCAACAGTGGAGAAAGGCAATGCTGTTCCTGGTGGAAAATGGTTTTAGAGTCTGTTGCACGTTGATAGTGATGAAACTTCACTGTTGTTTTTTCACATGTATTAAAAATAAAGTGAAACGTGCTGAGTGTCTTGATATCATGTGAGAATGTCTGGAATAACATGTGATTCATTCATTATTAAGTCCATTGTCCCAGTCCTTAAAAAAGTTAGTGCTGTTGGGATGTATCCAGTTGTGTCCCACTGCTGCTAGAAGGCTCTTAGATCCAGCAAAAGCTTCCATTTGAAAGCAGGAAATGTGTGGATTGCTTGCTTGCTTGCTTGCTTGCAGATTCCATTGGGGAAGGGCTGAGGCTCAGTGGAAGATAATCCATTTTATATGCAGGTTCCATGTTCAGTCCCTGGAATCTTCAGTTAAGGCTGGGAGAGAACTTTGTCTGGAGATCTGCAGTCATTCAGTATAGACAACATTGAGCTAGATGGACCATGGTCTGACTCTGTATGTTCCTATAACCCCCTGCACCATCTCTTATGCTGTTTCAAAGGGTATTTCAAACGTCTGCAGAAGATTTTGGGGTAAAGGAAAGGTAGAATTGGCAAAAAATATCACCACTTCCCTTTTTCGCTGCTGCCGCTTTGCCGGTGAGTCTTGGGGAGGACCGCCCCCCCTACAAGCCCATTCTCCACCTTGGGCCTGGGGGCGGGCCCCATACTCTACCTCAGCATATAAGGCTCCAAGGAGGCCTCGGGACATCGCTGCTGCCGCTTTGCCGGTGAGTCTTGGGGAGGACCGCTCCCCCTGCAAGCCCATTCTCCACCTTGGGCCTGGGGGCGGGCCCCATACTCCACCTCAGCATATAAGGCTCCAAGGAGGCCTCGGGACATCGCTGCTGTTCTTCTGCCAGTGAGTCTTGGGGAGGACCGCTCCCCCTGCAAGCCCATTCTCCACCTTGGGCCTGGGGGCGGCCCCCATACTCACCACCGCCACAACTCTAAGGACACTGCTGCTGCAGCAGCAAATGTTTAAACGTTTTATATTTTTTAAAGTGTTTTAAAAGTGTTTTTACTTATTACTTTGTTGTATCACCAGAAATGGTGGTTTTTTATCCATGTATTTTTATTTTGTTTTGTTTTATTTTGAGTTGGGATGGTTGTTGAGTGGGGTGGGGATTGGTTTTGTTTTGGGGTAATTGTTTCTTTGTTTGTTTGTTTGCTTTTATATTCTGTAAATGGAGGCGAGTATGAGGCCTGGGATTCCTACTGTGGAGGGGCGAGGGAGGTATGGCGGTGGGGGCAGATGTCATAGGCGAAGGGGATCGAGATACGGATATGCTCGTACCCCTTCCAATCTGCGCCCCATCCCGAGAGACGAGGGTAGGGTGAGCAAGGATTACTCACCTCCGTCACTGGTGTTGTGCAATGCCAGGTCTATAGGCAACAAAACCGCCACCCTGCGAGATTTCATCATCTCGCAGGGGGTCGACCTGGCTTGTGTGACGGAGACCTGGGTGCGCGAAGGGGATACTGTTACCTTACGAGAGATGGCGCCCCCGGGTTTTTCCGTCCTCCACCAGTCACGGACTGTGGGCCGGGGGGGAGGGGTGGCACTATTAATCCGGGAAGATTGTTCTTTCAGGGCTCTACCACCGCCATCGATCCCCGGCATTGAATGTGTTGGCCTAGTGTGGGGCTCCGAGGTGAGCTTGGCTGTCTGGCTGGTGTACCGGCCACCTAGCGCACCAGCAGCCACCCTGTCAGGCCTGCTGGAGGCGGTGGCCGGCTGGGCCTTGGAGTTCCCTAACCTATTGGTATTGGGGGACTTCAACATCCATGCCGATGCCACTCCCTCCTCACAGGCTCTGGACCTGGTGTCTTCCATGGCGACACTAGGGCTCTCCCAGTTTGTTTCGGGCGCCACACATCAAGCAGGCCACACGCTGGATCTGATCTTTGGCGTCGGTATAGATGTGATCATGTTTCCTTCGATGAAGGTGCCATGGTCTGATCACTACGCTCTGAAAGCCAGGATTGACGTTCCACCCCCACCCTGCTTAGGTGGTGAGCCGATTTGGGCTCGCCCGCGGAGGCTGATGGACCCTGATAGATTCCGTCAAGCCTTGCGGGACCTTTCTCCCCCTGGCGACTCATTGACTGAGCTTGTTGAGGGCTGGAATACCCAGCTCCTGGCAGCCATCAATGAGATCGCACCTAAGCGCCCTCTGCGACCCCGCAGAAACCGGGCTCCCTGGTTTACTGAGGAGCTCCGGAAAATGAAGCGGGACCTCAGACGGCTAGAGCGAGTATGGCGGGGTGCCCGTGACGGAGCCTCAAGAACATCTTATAGGGTTTTTATGAAAACCTACGAGATGGCAGTGAAGGCCGCTAAGAAGTCCTACTTCTCGGCCTCCATTGCATCCGCTAGCTCTCGCCCGGCACAATTATTTAGTATAATTCGGTCTTTAACGTCCCTCGAAGGACAGCCAAATTTAAATAACAATTCGACACACAGCTGTGAGGCATTTGCGAGCTTTTTTGCGGAGAAGGTCCTGTCGCTCCGCCATGACCTCCCTGCCAATTTGGATACAATAAAGGAACTGGAGGCCCCTCGACTGTCCTCGGGTCCAGTATTGGACCACTTTGACCGGATATCCCCAGCCGATGTGGACAGACTCCTCCGAGCTGGAAAGCCCACCACTTGTCCTCTCGACCCGTGCCCGTCTTGGCTGATTAGAGCGTGTCCAGACGAGGTGCGGGCCCCCCTGGGGGATATCATCAATTTGTCCCTTGGCACCGGGACATTCCCAGGGGAACTGAAGGAGGCAGTGGTGCGTCCGCTCTTAAAGAAAACATCATTAGATCCCTTAGATCTATCCAATTACCGCCCAGTTTCGAATCTTCCATTCCTGGGTAAGGTGATTGAGAGAGCGGTTGCTGAACAGCTTGGTAGGTTTCTGGATGAAACATCGGCTCTGGATCCATTCCAGTCCGGCTTCCGCGCTGGTCATGGGACCGAAACGGCTCTGGTCGCCCTAACAGATGATCTTCGTAGACAGCTGGATCGAGGCGGGTCGGGGCTGCTGATTCTTCTAGATCTGTCAGCAGCTTTCGACATGGTTGATCACGAACTTCTGGACCACCGCCTCGCCAACGTGGGGATCCAGGGCACAGTCCTTCAATGGCTGCGCTCGTTTCTCTCTGGTCGGGGACAGAGGGTGGCGCTTGGGGGGGAACTGTCATCCCGCCACTCCTTGGTGTGTGGAGTGCCTCAGGGTGCGATTCTCTCCCCGATGCTTTTTAACATCTTTATGCGCCCCCTCGCCCAGCTTGTCCGGAGTTTTGGGCTGGGCTGCCATCAGTATGCTGATGACACCCAACTCTATCTGTTGATGGATGGCCATCCTGACTCGGCCCCAGACACACTGATCAGATGCTTGGAGGCTGTGGCTGGATGGTTACGTGGGAGCCGGTTGAAGTTAAATCCTTCGAAGACAGAGGTCCTCTGGCTGGGACGGGACGATATGGGATTGAGGGGGCAACTCCCATCTCTTGCGGGGGTGCAATTAGTGCCAGCACCGTCCGTTAAGAGTTTGGGTGTAATCTTCGATACCTCCCTCTCCATGGAGGCGCAGATTGCAGCTATAACAAAGGCGGCATTTTTTCATCTCCGCCAAGCTAAGCAGTTGGCTCCTTACCTCTCTCGCCCTGACCTAGCCACTGTGATCCACGCGACGGTCACCTCCAGACTGGATTATTGTAACTCGCTCTACGTGGGGCTGCCCTTGAGACTGACCCAGAAACTCCAGCGGGTGCAGAATGCCGCAGCGAGACTCCTTACGGGGTCTTCACTGCGGGATCACATTCATCCGGTGCTATACCAGCTGCACTGGCTCCCGGTGGAGTACAGGATCAGGTTTAAGGTGCTGGTTTTAACCTTCAAAGCCCTACACGGCCTAGGACCCTCGTATCTACGGGACCGCCTCTCCTGGTATGCCCCACAGAGGAACTTACGGTCCTCAAATAAAAACATCTTGAAGGTCCCAGGCCACAGAGAGGTTAGGCTGGCCTCAACTAGAGCCAGGGCTTTTTCGGCTGCAGCTCCAACCTGGTGGAACGCTCTGTCACAAGAGACAAGGGCCCTGCAGGACTTGACATCTTTTCGCAGGGCCTGCAAGACAGAGCTGTTCCACCAGGCCTTTGGTTAGGGCACAGCCTGACTCCCTCCTTTGGCAATCTTTACAATACTTTAGTTTATGGTTGCCATCAATTTTGATTTTAATTAATTCTTATGATGTTTTATAATGTTGCACTATTTTAGTGTTGTTAGCCGCCCTGAGCCCGGCTTCGGCTGGGGAGGGCGGGATATAAATAAAATTTATTATTATTATTATTATTATTTTACACTTAGGTTTTTTTATCCAGGAAATGCTTGTCTATCAGCAGGTGGATACAGTTGGATGCAACTTATGAAATCTACCAGGCTTGAATCATGCACAAATTGTTGATGTCACTGAAACTTAATTACCTTTTCCTGATTGGGAGACCAGAGAATGTCAGGCATTCGTTTCTATGTAGACATGAAATTTTAGTACAGTGGTGCCCCGCAAGACGAAAAACCCACAAGACGAAAGGGTTTTCCGTCGCGGAGGCGCTTTGCAAGACAAATTTCCCTATGGGCTTGCTTTGCAAGACGAAAACGTCTTGTGAGTCTCGCCATTCCCCCCCCCCCGCTTTTTTCTCCCTTTTTCAAAGCCGCTAAGCCGTTAATAGCCTTTTAACAGCTTAGCTGCTAAGCCGCTAATAGCGCTAAATCGCTAATAGCGCTAATCCGCTTAGCCGCCAATGGGGTTGCTTCGCAAGACGAAAAAACCGCTAGACGAAGAGAATCGCGGAACGGATTCTTTACGTCTTGCGAGGCACCACTGTAGATTAATTGACTGTTGCCTTCTAGGCTTGCTATATTAACATTCTGTATCATTTAAAAAAACATTTTTTATATTTTATAATTCTACTCTGTGCAGCAGTGTAAATGTACTAATCATATTAGCTGAGGTTATGCATGTTTGAAAACAATTTCTATTTCTGCTGATGCTATGAAATTTTTAGATTAATTAAAAATGTTTTCTTACTGGTTTTTTAAACTTATGTTTCAGGTAGGCGTTAAAGTTGGTGTCCGTACAAGAGGCTGTAATGGACTTTCTTATACACTAGAATACACAAAATCAAAGGGGGACTCTGATGAGGAAGTAGTACAGGATGGTAAGTGTGTTTTGGTATCCCAGAGATAACTGCAAGTCCTTTTTTACTCCTCTTCCTTTAAAATATTGTTAATGCCATTTAATCTCAGTTGTGCAGGTTTCTCACTAAAATTGGTGTCTGTAAATTAAAAGGTAACCCTAATTCACTTCATTGATAAATTGACTTTCTCTCAATAAACTTGGTGCTGTCGCCAGTCAGACTTGATTTCTGTAACTAGCCATTAAAGGTCTAATATTTGAATGTGCTTCTTATGTGGTAAGTTTCACATACTGGAGCAGCACTTCTAAGTTTATGCTTTGAATCACAGCTTTGAATGGACAAAAGTGGTCCATCAGAATTGACACTGCCAAGACATTTTAAAGAGATTGAAAATAAATCTCTAATTGATGGCATCAGATCAAGCTGACTAGAATTATGCTGAATTATGAAGAAAGCACTTTTTCTGCAGTTAGAGCAGGGCAACCATGCAATGGTTGCAATCTAATTTGTGGAGTCGGGTGTTAAACTGTAGTACAACAGGCCTGAGGTGTTTGTAGTTTGTCTCTGGGTGAAATAATGTTCACCAGCATGCTAGGACAAGGATTAGCTGTTCACAAATATTTCGCATGGGGGTGGGATCCAGAATTTGCTCTCTTTCAAATCTCATAATTGTTTCTTCTTCTTTTTGTCAAGGTGTTAGAGTGTTTATTGAAAAGAAAGCGCAACTCACACTTCTAGGAACTGAAATGGACTATATAGAAGACAAACTGTCCAGTGAATTTGTTTTCAATAACCCAAACATCAAAGGAACGTGTGGTTGTGGTGAAAGCTTTAACATTTAAAACATCAGGACTGTTAACTTTTAAGACCACAAAACTGCTTTCTGAAGTAATCACTCAGTGTGTGTGTTTTAACATCTTTAGGCTTTGTAATATACAGCTGCCTTTCCAGGAGAATAAAAGTACTGTGTTTTGAAAGTGTAATCTGTGTGTTAAATTCTAGCCCTTTCATATTTTGGGTTTAAGAGTGTGGAGAGGAATTGGTCTGCAGAAGTTCAGAACACTTAGGTTTACTGTAAGATACCTCTTCAAATTTCAATCTGCAAAAAGCTCCTGTCAGTTCTTTGCAAGACTGAAAAATATTGTATTAAGGCCATATGGCTACTTTTTAAAATCTTGGATTGGAAGGAATTCCAGTACTGTAGGCCTAACATTAATGCATGATTTAAGGCAAAAATAATCCTACCATGTACTAGAATTTTACAAAGTATTTTTAGTACTTTCTCTTCAAATGTTAAGTGTGAATTTTGAGGGGCATATGATCTAATAGAGTTGAGGTGAGTCACAGTGTAATCCTAACAACATCTACTTTGAAGTAAGTCCTCTTGAATTCAATGGGACTTACTCCCAAGTAAGTAGGGTTAGGATTGCAATCTAATCTGGATTTCAGACATCATACACATGCAGATATTCTGCCCCCTCTTCTCTCCTACATACTATGTTATTAATGCCTAAGAGGCATTAATAATTTTTGGTTGCCACTAGGAAAGTCACTAATATTTTAAGGAACAATGTAGTCACTGTGATTTTAAAGAAGGTAATGCAGAATCTTTGACGTTGCTTGTTTTAATCAGTTTAAAAATATTCTGAAGCTAATTCTAAAACCACTCCCTACGTTTCCCAAGTCTAGGATTATTTTATTTTTATGTTCCTGTCAAGCAGCAGAGGACACTATTTTTTCTGGGTGATGTGATTTTGTTACCCTAACAGCTTGTGGCCTGAGTTAATTTTAAGAAGTCTTCAAATTTCAACCTAAATAAGAACAAAACTTTGAATGTTGATAACGACTGTTCAAGTAGGGAGGGAGGAGAATGTTTTTAAAAATCTACTTTTTATTTTAATGATTTATTATGTTTCATATTAAGAATGATTTTTTAAAAAAATAAGCCTGTTTATATGATCTTCCAGCTAACATACTATTGCACATAAGAAGGTGGTGGCTGTTTTATTAGTTGAGAAAACTCAGAGCCATTTTTTCACCCCAGTATTTCATAAGGCTCTGTATAACTAATGTTCTAATGCTGGCAGTTATCTTATATAGACAGGCATTCATGCTATGCTTGATGTGAGAGGGATATGCAGTGTGGGGAGGATGGTACATGTGTTTCAGTGCAAGATTACTAGTGCAACAACCTTATCAACTGCCACAGTTCTGTCCATTGAGGCCTTGGCGTTTAAGTTAAACATTGGGAGTGCGGGAATCTTAACTGTGAGGACAGTTCGGCAGTGGAGCAAACTGGTGAGCTGTGGAATCCCTGCCTTGCAGACTTTCTTGAAAAAGCTCAAGGCAGGCTTTTCCTTCGCAGTAAATTAAATGTGCAACTAGGTAAACTGTGCACAAACACCGGCTCCCTCAGCCTGAAAGCGAGATGAGCGCTGCAACCCCATAGTCGCCTTTGACTGGATTTAACCGTCCACGGGTCCTTTACCTTTTTTAACCAAATGTGCAACTTAAAAAATGCTTGAAAGAGGGGAAGACGGTTCTGTGCAACTTTGGCATGTTGGCGCACTAGAACTCATGTGCTTCTTATGTAGCAGTATGTTGGAAGATTCAGGACTCAAAAGAAATTTTTCCAAACTCAGGTGTGGGGTTTGTTTCCTCCCAAACAAACTTAGTGATCATGGTTGGTTTTAAGGGAACAAACATGAGGCTGGGTTTGGGTGACAAGAAGTTAGATTCTGGCTTGTTTCATTTGGTGTGTCAGTAACAGGAATGAAGAATAAGCACTACATAGAGTGTGTACCAGTGTGAAGCTCATTTACATTAAACCATGGCTTAATGTACTGTGCAAAGCAGGTCAGTGATTAAGAGCATGTCTGAGACTATTAGAACCTTTGCTTAGGACTGCTGCATTTCTACCCTGTGGAAATTTTGGGCTAGTGCAATCAAAAATTCCATATGGAGAACAGCCCCAGTATTTGACTGCTTCTTAATGAAGAGGACACTGAATGTAGACAGTACTGTGTAAAAATGGTATTGCTGTATTCTTACATCTTAATATTTTTAGAAATGTTGTATATTCTGTGTTTTATGAAAGTGTGCACTTCAGTACTATGAAAGTACATTGTATTTAAATGCCTAATGCGCAAATTGGAAGTAAATTTTTGTTAGCAGTAGCTTAAGAGATTGTAACTATTAATCATCTATCACGTGTGCAATAATGTAATGTTGACATGTAATAAATATTGCCTTTTGCTAAACATGGAAAACACGTTTTGTAGTTTCTACATCCAATCCTAAATGAATTTTTTAGATTTCTGTTTTAGATTAAGGATCTTTACCCTACACTTCAACCAAAGCAAATATCTGTAAGACAATCTCTGCCCTCCATTTTATAATCTAAAAGCAACACTCAAGGAAAATGGATTGGTAGGGAGGAGGAAAAAAAGGAAACCCAATCACTAGTTCTTGGTTACAGAGTTCTTATAACAATGAGTCAGAATGGAAAAAGTTAAAAGGAGTGGAAGCGCCAAAAGTTGCTGATCTCTCAGCTGAGCCAACGGTGAGATCCTGCACTCCCATCTCCCGCTGCTTTGTTCTCATGGTTGCTGTGTGTATAGAGATTTAGGGGTTTCTAGGGATTTAGACATTGCACCAACCTCAAGCCACACGTCCCACAAGCCTGGCTTCTAATAAAGGCCCATTACTTAATTCCAGCACTGAGCAAGTAAGGCACCCTCAAGCTAAATAAACATCCAAACTTTGGGGCTGGGTTGAATTTTGGCATCTAAAACTTCAGACTCTGATCAGGGCCAGATTTAGGTTTGATGAGGCCCTTAAGCTTGACAAGGTTTGATGAGGCCCTTAAGCTTGACAACCATATGTCAGGAGTGCTCTGATGGTGTTTCCTGCTTGGCAGGGGGTTGGACTCGATGACCCTTGTGGTCTCTTCCAACTCTATGATTCTATGATAAGCTACTGAAGGTAATGGGGCCCTTTATGTGTTCAGCTGTCCTTTGTCAACAACAAATTGTCACTGTTTTTTGTGTTGCATATATGCTATATGGTAATTTATGGACCTAATAGGTACCTAAAGCCATTTGCACATAACAAAATATGTATTTTATCAAAGTAATTGATACAGAAATGACCAAACCAGTGATATTTTAGGAAGCAGTCTACCAGGCAGGGCCCAAGACTTGCATCATAGGAGCCTACACAACACAAATGCTTGCTGTATGTAGGTTTTATTTATTTGTTTTTCATCTTATATTTTGGAAATGTACATCCAGTGTTTTTTTTCCTTTAAATTTTTTGGGGGACCCCATGAGAGTGGGGCCCTAAGCTATGGCTTGCTTACACATAAATCCGGCACTGCTCAGGATCCCGCGCAGCAAGCAGCGACGGCAGGGACAGGCCGAGTGTCAACTCTCCACTCGAAGGTTGGCCATAATAATAATAATAATAATAATAATAATAATAATAATAATAATAATAATTTTATTTATACCCCCCCTTCCCAGTTCAGAAAACTGGGCTCAGGGCTGCTAACAACGAATTTAAAGCAATTAATTGATGCAACAAAAAACAGCATAAAACGTGAATAACAATAAATTCAGAATTCAAAAACCAATTTAGGGGGGAAATCCATCCAATAAACATTAGACGATCACCAGGGCTAGCTGGCTAAATTACTCCTATTTGGGCCAGCGAGGAGACATGGGGAGAATTAGCTGTGGGATCCAGAGAGGGTAATCTTCATAAAAAGGGGAGGGGGAGGGAAGGAAGGAAGGGAATAAATGATCAGGCTAAATTCAAAGTGAAAGCCAGGCGGAATAGCTCTGTCTTACAGGCCCTTAAGGGAATCCCGAGATCCCTCGCAGGGCAACGATTTTGCCCGTCCGGCTGCGGCTCCCCGATCTGCCTCCTGCCTCCTCGGTGCACAGCAGGCGCCGGGCTCCGCGCCTCTCGCATTCGACGGGCGGGACTCGGCGCGCCGGGGGCACCGTTTGGAGAAGGGCAATGCTCGGATCGGTTCCCTCCAGCCCTGATCTCGGCCCGGAAACGCTGCGACGGCAGATGCCTCCTTGAAAGAAGCAGCAGCCCCGGCCCGATTCCCTTCCCCGCGCCCGGGCGCCGTCCTTCCCCCGTGCCGCCCGCCCCCCCGGCAGGGAAAGTTGTGGCGTGATAATGGGGTCACTATGAAGACCTCTCCCCGCGCCGACGGCTCCCGGCCTCGCAGCGCTTGCTGGCCCGCCGCTGCTCTTCTGGGCGGCACGATTTGCTTCCGATCGGGTTCCCTTCGATCCAGTAGATCGGCGCCCTTCTGCAGCGCCGACTCGCCCCGTCGGTTCCTCGCAGCCGCGCCTCCGCCCCGTCAGCCAGTCCAAGGATTCAAGGCTTTGTTTTGACGCTGGAGGCAGCGTCCTTTGCTCGCCCCGCCGTCTCCTAGCAACCCAAAATGCACCTGCCCTGAAATCTTCTGAGTCCAGGTGTTCCTGGAAGTTGCTTTCTGCATCCATCCCGTGAGTAACGATGATGCTTATATAGGCTGGCACGTGTGAAGGCTAAAGAAGGCTCCTAGCGCAGTCGGGAAAGTTGGGGAGCTTCCAGGCTGGGTGGGAGGGTTCACACTGTCGCCTATGTAACCAGGGTGAGGCCCCCCCTCAAGTAAATAAAAATAACTAAAATTGTAGAAATATTGTGACAGATTTTACTGAGCACTTGTAAAGGTAAAGGGACCCCTGACCATTAGGTCCAGTCGTGACCGACTCTGGGGTTGCGGCGCTCATCTCGCATTACAGGCCGAGGGAGCCAGTGTTTGTCCACAGACAGTTTTTCTGAGTCATGTGGCCAGCATGACTAAGCCACTTCTGCCTTTTTTGGTGGGAAATTCCCTTATTCCAGCGCTGTTTCCCGCTGCTATCCCTGTTAGATATTCCGTAGACTTTCCCCGGGACAGGTGAGGCTGCTGATCCCTTATTTTCAAATCTGAAAGTTGACAGCTATGCGTCTGGCAAACCAGAGCAGCGCACGGAAACGCCGTTTACCTTCCCGCTGGAGCGGTACCTATTTATCTACTTGCACTTTGACGTGCTTTCAAACTGCTAGGTTGGCAGGAGCAGGGACCGAGCAATGGTGGGAGCTCACCCCGTCGTGGGGATTCGAACCGCTGACCTTCTGATCGGCAAGTCCTAGGCTCAGTGGTTTAACCCACAGCGCCACCCGCGTCCCCTGCTGAGCACTTGAGGTCAACAGAAATTTAAAACAACTGTGATTGAGACATTTCATTCCCAAACTGCTAGACCAGTGGTTTTCAGCCAGTGCACCATTGCACCCTGGGGTGCCTTGAATGATGGTCAGGGGTGCTGCAGGCAACACTGGTCTCTGTCCCTCCTTCCTTCCCTCCGTCCTCCTCGGATGCCCTCTCCTGTCTCTGCCTCCCAAAGGCTTGCACAGCTGTTTGTTGCAGCAGCCCTGCTGGCTATAAGCTCCACAAGAGAATGGTGCCCCTGGAGGGCACCTCTCTTTGGGGCAGGGTTGGGGGGCAGTTCAGGGACCAGGGGCGGCAGCAGGGACTGTCCAGAGGACTCCCAAGGAGAGGGGAGAGGTGAGGAGGCTGAGGGAACAAGCCACAAGGGAGGGTGTTCAAAAAAGGGTGAGAGGCTGCCAGCTCTGCAGGCAAGGGGGGGGACATAACTGGGCTTCTGAGCCCCACAAGCAGTGCTTTCCCCCCCTGTGGGGACGCAGGGGGACGCATACCCCTAAACATTTTGTGAATCTTTGTACTTTTGTCCATTTACAGTGGTACCTCGGGTTAAGTACTTAATTCATTCCGGAGGTCCGTTCTTAACCTGAAACTGTTCTTAACCTGAAGCACTACTTTAGCTAATGGAGCCTCCTGCTGCCGCTGCACGATTTCTGTTCTCATCCCGAAGCAAAGTTCCTAACCTGAGGTACTATTTCTGGGTTAACCTGAAGCGTCTGTAACCTGAAGCGTATGCAACCCAAGGTACCACTGTACTGTATTTAGTTTCCCCGATTTGAACTATAAAATGGTGACTTTCTTGAGTCAAAATGAGAGTACCCCTAAACATTTTTTAAGAGAGGGGGGGAAAAAGCACTGCCCACAGGGGTGCCACAGAAAGAATGTAGTTGGCTAAGGGAGCTGTGGACTCAAAAAGGTTGAAAACCTCTGTGCTAGACAGAGCCAAACAGAGGATGATGACTGGTGGTGTCACCAATTGCGGGGGGGGGGGGGGTAGGGATTCAGTTGCATAGAGGCAAATTCAGATTACAGAAATAAGGTTGGTTAAGAATGTAAAAAGAGCTTGCTGGATCATGCCAGAGGCCCCTCTAGTCCAGTGTCCTGTTTTCACAGAGGCCAACCAGATGCAGAGCATAGCCTTTGTGGCTAGTAGTCATTGATAGCTTAATAATAATAATAATAATAATAATATATTATTTATACCCCGCCCATCTGGCCGGGTTTCCTCAGCTACTCTGGGCGGCTTCCAACAAAACATTAAAATACAATAGTCCATCAAACATTAAAAGGTTCCTTAAACAGGGCTGCCTTCAGATGTCTTCTAAAAGTCTGGTAGTTGTTTTTCTCTTTGACATCTGGTGGGAGGGTGTTCCACAGGGCGGGTGCCACTACTGAGAAGGCCCTCTGCCTGGTTCCCTGTAACTTGGCTTCTCGCAGCGAGGGAACCACCAGAAGGCCCTCCATTAATTTGCCTCCTGTGGGACATGTTCCATAGCTCAATTGGGCACTGCATGAAGTACAGGATTTTGTTTTACCTGTCCTGAATCTTCTGGCAGCTTCACTGGATGTCCAGGAGTTCTGGTGTTATATGAGACGAAGTGGGGAGGGAAAAAAATATCTATCCACTTTCCCTGCAAGGCATGCCTTTGTAGACTTCTATCATGCCACCTCTTATCGGTATGTAAACTAAGACATCCAAAATGCTGCAATCTTTCCTTACAGGGGAGTCACTCCACATCCATGATCATTTTTATTGCACTTAAAAACAAAATAAAATTGCACATTTATTTGATATTAAAGCAAATCATAACAATACATTTCACAACGCAGAGTACTAACCACTATACGAAACAAAATCAAAAGTTGTACTAAGGCTTTGTCCAATGCCATAATATCACAGAACAAACAGCCACTCCAATTCTCATTCTTCCATCACTGTCATGTTGGCTCCCATCGGCACCCAACTAGCAATCTGTTTACTAGACATTTTCAATCATGGCC